TGTGCATGCAGAAGTCTAATATAAAAAAAAAAAAAAAAAAAAAAGAAAAAAAAATCACAAACAAATATTTAAACGTTTTTTAACAAAATAAAAATTTATTTTTATATTTAAGCTAAATTGCCTTTGAATTCCTTCAAGCTTGGTTCAGTGAGGTTGCCAGACCCCGCAGCGCTGTTGGTAGTGTTTCGCTGTGCCGTCGCAGCCCGGTGAGGAGCCGGCCCGGGCCCCGGCTCTGCCCGCAGGAACGAGCTGCTCCGGGGAAAGGCAGCTACGTCCCGCGGGCTCTGCCGCACACGCTCCTCCCGGCCTGTCACGACATCTCCTTCATTTTAAAATGTGATGTATGTGGATGTGACTAACCCCTTTTTTCTTCTTTTTTTTAAAATTCTTTCTCTGAGGATGAGGAGCGGGAGCTCTTGCGCGTTACGGTGACGAGCGGTTTTTCTTGTCCGCCAGGATCGAGGCGTCTCTCCCAGCAGGCGGAAGGAGGGCAGGTGACCGGGCTCTGCGCGGCGCCGGGGGCAGAGGACGTGCGGGCAGGCGCCCGCCGCCGCCGCTGGCGGGGGGGGCGGCCGCGGTTCCAGGCTGCTGAGGGACGCTGTCTTCACCAGGTCCCGAAACCTTTCCCTGTTGTTTCATCCCGTGGCCTGGTGAACACACTCCCTCCGGAGGGCTCTGCTTCGTTGCCGTCCCCGCAGAACACGAGCCGGGCTTAGTGCCGGCCCGGCATGGGCGTCTCGGTGCCGTGGGCGTCTCGGTGCCGTGGGTGACAACCCCCTCACCGTGACTTCATCTCCCGTCAGACCTCCAGCCGAGGTCCCAGGCTACGGCACATCCTCGGCTGGCGGCGTGGGGTGGGGACGGGGGTCCCTCCTCCCCTCTCCCGGCCGCCACGCAGCGCCCCCGGCCCTCGCCGCTCCCCGCTGGGCCGCCGGCTCCCCCCGCCCCGCTCGTGTGAAGCCCCCCCCGTTTTGCTTTTAATGTTTTGTGGTTTATGACTTTCTGGGATTAAAATTGATCAATTTATAGGTTTTCGTATGAAAGAAATACTTATTTCCCAGAGAACAACACTGCAGTTTCCAGAAGACAACAAGACATTGGATCAAATATTCATAGTATCTTCCTCTATTAAAAAATAGAATCCATTTTAGACAATTTAAAAATGATCTTAACATCTTTCAAGCCACATGTAACTGAACAGTGTGAGATTTCTAAATCCTATAATTTGCAAGTTCATTGTTTTAATTTGAATATCTTTCTGAGATGGCGTTACTGCTTTCGAGTCTCAAGCTTGAGCTCTACTACGCTGTGAGGGTGTACCAGTGTGGGTCTGTGCTGGCTCAGGAATTTCTTCACTGTGGGCCTCCACATGGTGCTGTGTCACCCAGAGTAATGAAGACATTTGGCTCTGCTAGGGGTATGACATGAAGACTAGTAATAGTCTAATATTTTACACCCCTTTAAGTGATTTCTGAAATACTTTTAAACCTGGAATATGCACAGCATACTTACTGTGATACAAAGGTTTTTTTCATGAAAAAAAGAAAATGTTAGAAAATTATGTGCAAACCAGCATGTGGTAGCAGAAGATCCTCATTCACAAGCTCTTTAGACAAAGGCAACTGGTACAAGAACAATAACTACTTAACCCTCCCAGTTTGGTGTATCTCATTTTGGAGACCCATCCCTGGCTCCTTGGAGAAACTTAAAATGAGATTCCCACATTGCATTGGACACTTCACTCCAGGGGTTTGGTACTCAACTGTCATTTATTGACTGATAATGGTGTCTTTATGGACTAGGTCATTGGACAAGTTATGAGTGCTGTTGTTTTAGTATTTTGAACACTATTGAAATTTGTGAATTTTGAAAAAACCTAGAAATGAACAGAAGGCACAGGCTCTAAACTGTTGACATAGCTGCTTTCATAAAGTAATAAAACATCATGCTTCCTTGTTTTTGTTCTGTGCTTCTCTTTCTACATTAAGTACTTTTGAAAATTCTTTAACTTTTAAGCTACTATGATGATCTATACACCATTCTTTTTTGTCATAGATTTCTTCCCTTTTTATCAGCTTCCTGAGATTCTAGTCCTGTTTTTCTTTTATGCCTTTTAATCTCACTGTCTCTAAGCCTTTACATAGGATTTATCGCTGTATTGGATTTACATGTCAAGGTGCTGGCAGCAGCAGCAGCAGCGGGGGGTGCGGGGGCGGGCCCCGGGGGGGGCGGGCGGGGGGGGCCCCCCCCCCCCGCCGCTGGCGGGGGGCTTTATCCCCGCCCCGCGTAGCCGAGGGGGCAGAGGGCTGCTCCAGCAGCGCAGACCCGCGCGGGAGGAGCCGGCCTGGGCAAACGCGTCCTTGGGGGTCAGAAAGCGGCTGAAAAGGGGTGAGCGGACGTGAGGGCGCTGAGCCCGGAGAGCGCCCGCGGGTGGCGGGGGCAGGATGGCGGCGCCGGGGTTTGGCCAGGTCGGCTCCAGCAAGACCCGGGTGGCAGAGGGAGATGGGGAGGAGCAGGGTGGGAGGCGAGGGCACCCTGGGGAGCAGCGGCTCTGGGTGCTGCCCCATTTTAGGTCCCAAGTGCCCCGCGAGGAGCAGGGCTGCATCCCGTCCCCGCCGCACGGACCCTGCTGGGAGAGACCCTCGCGCCTGGGCCGCCGCGCGTGGCCGGGGGAGGCTGGGTTTTAACTCAAGCTGAAGACTTGGATCATTCCTGGTGTGGCTGATGAGGATTTTTAGTGTGAATGTGCAATTTTTTTCCTTGCTTCTTCTGTCCCTGGTTTAAAATAAAAAAAAAAAAAACCTGTGTTCACATCGGCCATGCCCGTGTCTGATTCCAGGGCCTGGGCAGGGCCCCGCGCGTACAGGGCACCGCTTTCCAACACCCTCTGGCTCTTGTGTCCTTGCTCCCCTGCTCAAAGGCAGGTGCATGGGCAGGAGGATTATTATTAATTATTATTTCACTTTTTTCACCTTTTTTCCCCCCACTCTGCCTCTGTTTCAGGCAGTTTCGGGGCAAGGTTGCACAAACACGCCGGAAAAGACAGTGAAAGAGTGAAAAACTTTAATCTGTTTCATCCCTACAGCCACCGGCTTTTCAGAAACCCCACGTCAGGCTGGGGTAAGGATTTGGGGGGG